GTGGTTTTGCACATAATTTTGGCCAGTTCGAGCCGGATACTGGATAGTTCGGAACCTAAAAGTGCTTTAAAAACCCTCAAAAAGTGCCTTTTTAGTGGTTATTGATTGTTCCATCGTGATTTTTGGCGCCATGTGATGCAAAAAATCAATCATCCACTGTGCAGTCTGCACGTGTCTCAAACAACGTTGGGTTCCACGTGCCACCAGCGAAGGTTTCCGCCGGAACCGGAAGTGCGTAAGTAGAGTGGGGCGGAGCAAACAAACTTCACTTGTCAAATTCAAAAGGGTGCTTCTTTTTCTCGTCTGGTTCAACCCAAGTCACCCCGGGTGCAGTATCCTTGCTTGGTGCAATGAAGTACAGCCCCGGAGCAACGAACATGAAAGTGAGAGTTCACCACCCCGACAGCTTAACCTCAAATTAAATGTCAAACATTTGTTTACGTTTTGTTGTTTGTTGTTTGTGTATTTTGGATTTTTGCAGTGAATTTGCATTATTTTTGAAAAACTGAATTTTTCGCATTAATTATTGCTATTTTTTCATTATTTATTTAAAGGATGAACAATTATCCGTTTTTCGTTTTGTTAAGTAGTTTTAAAAAAAAAAAAAAAATCTAATTTATTAGGTAATTTTAAATTTTGTTTATAGATTTCTTTTGATATTTTCTTATTTCTTTGATTGTAAACTTTGTAAATATGGCTACCAAAAAGCAAATTGATAAATTATTGTCAAAGAAAAAGCAAGCAATCGACTCCATGGTTAGAATAAGTCGTTATATTTCCGATCACAAATCTGATCCTGACAGTGAGTATAAAACCGACCAATTTTTAGTTCGGAAGGAAATATTGCAGGACAGTTTTCAAAAGCTTAAAGACATTCAAGTTGAAATTCTGTGCCTTGATGGTAACTATGATGATTCAATTGATGATGTAGAAACTCTTTTTTATGATGTCATTGTAAGTATTAAAAATTGTTTACCTAATTATAATACAAGAACATTCAACTTTGTTGCACGCTGGACCAAGACAAGTTTTAGGTTCCCTAAACCTCAATTATTGGCTCATAAATGGAATAAGATTAATTAAAAAAGAGCTACACAAATGTGTGATTTGCTTTAAATTCAAAGCAAAATGTTCCACTCAATTATTGGGTTCCTTGCCGGAAAAAAGAGTCTGTTCAGCCAGAGTGTTTCAAAATGTCGGGGTAGATTTTTGCGGTCCCTTCCTCGTTAAGCAATCTCGAATTAGAAAATCCGTAAGTTCCAAGGCATACATAGCACTTTTTGTGTGCTTTTCAGTCAAAGAAACTCATATGGAACTGCTTTCAGACCTGACAACCGAAAATTTTCTAGCTGCTCTGAAGCGTTTTATTTCGCGGAGGGGGAAGCCCGCAAATATTTTCTGCGACAATGGTTCCACGTTTAAAGGAGCCGAGAATAAAATCAAAGAGTTTTATAACGAAACAGAAAAAATTGAAAATTATTCCCTTCAGGAAAAAAATTACATTTAATTTTATACCGAGCTATTCTCCAGTTTTTGGTGGTTTATGGGAAGCTGGAGTAAAATCGGCAAAATTTCACATCAAGCGAGTCATAGGTAGCAATGAGCTTACCTATGAACAATTTAATACTCTTATTGTCCAAGTAGAAGGAATTTTAAATTCCCGACCACTTGTAGCCTTGTCACAAGATCCTTCAGATTTGGACTATTTGACCCCTGGTCATTTTTTGATAGGTGCGCCTATCACAAGCTTTCCTGACCCTGATTTGACGGAAATTCCCCAAGGTCGACTTAAGTTTTGGAAATTGTGTGTCCAGATGCAGCAGCATTTTTGGAAAAAGTGGTATCACGACTATCTAACGCAACTCCAAAATAGGCCAAAATGGCGTGATGAGATGCCTAACCTTAGGGAGGGCTTGTTAGTCATTTTAAAAGAGGATAATGTACCTTCTTATAAGTGGCCAATGGCAAGAATAGTTAAAGCAATACCTGGAAAGGACGGCAAAGTAAGGGTTGTCGAAGTGAAAATCAAAAAAGGTATTTATCTCAGATCGGTTACCAAGATTGCAGTGTTACCGATTGATGACAATAATTGTTAATAATATTTTTGAAAATTATTCACAAAATTCTGTACATATATTTGTAAAACATTTAGATTTATATTTATATTCAATTAGCTATACTCGTATATACATACATAATGTCATACTATGTGTTCCAGAAATGTTTTTAGCTTTAATTGTTAGTTAAGTTTTCGTTTACTGGATCATCATTGAAATCATACCTTTTTTTAAAAAAAAAAGGGTTGCTTACTTTCTCTTTAATTTTTTTATTTTTTTTTGCTGGAAAATTTTACCTTGGTTTCATGTGAAACTCTAGGCCCCCCAGCATGTTGGAAACATGTTCCAACAATCATGCTATCTCTTTTTGATGGCAAAATATTTTTATACATATAAAGTTTGCAACACTGCAGCGTTGTCGTCATGTCTATTTTGTCATGTCTGTCAATATATTGCGCGCCATTTTTGTCATTGCAGCAGTGTAGCTTGGAGCTTGTCCACGTTAACAAGCATCCAGAAACCTTTTCACATTTTAATAAATTTTATAATCTAGCTCTGCCCTGTTGGGCATCTAAGCAAGCTCTGGCTTCTTGTCATCTTGTAGTAGTAATTGTAAATAGTGTAAATATTGTGTAAATTGTTGTAAATATAGTGTCAGTGAAAAGCGCGTGTGTTTTAGTTCCCTATCCAGTCGATTATCCAGTCCACCTAATTATACAGTCCACTAATTATCAAGTTATTTATCTTCCATTATGTGGTTTTGCACACACGGTGATTATGCTGCTCTGAAATGGGGATTAGTGAACTAGTCCTATTGAAGCCTATGTGTCTATTAGCCTGATGATGAAACCAAGACGAAGCAATGCGAGCAGCAAATTTGAAACCAGAGTCTAGAACCTATGACTGAGATATGTCAACTGCATATCAATGCTCAGTGATCAAAGCCATCTTAACCAATTTCTAATTATAATAGTCCAAGATTCCAGGGCCCCAGACGTAACTTATTTTCTGCGGGATGGAGTAGCTCTCCTGGGATGGAATGTTTTGTGTTTACGGAAGAGCTTTAAAGCGTTTGGCGGAAGTTATGGCCGACGGAAAGTGTTTGGCAGTGTTGAATATCGATTTGTAATATAATACCTATTCCATTAAACATATGGAAATTAGAATTTAAGTGAAGTCAGTACTATTCCTAGTTTCCTTTTGCACCGGGCACTTGTCAATTTGTAAATTGGCCGTCTACCCAACTTAGTAGGTATGCATGCGTTCCACACATCTCCTTTAGAAAATAAGTTACGTCTGGGAGTCTGGGGGCTCTGGGTTTTTACTGTACCTGTACCTATAAAGTTTAAAAACTGCAGCTTATAGCGCTTTGCAAAGGATATGAATGTTAATTAAGCAAGGTCAACTCAACTTATGAATATTCGTCCTCCAAATCGCATCGTTTATTGGAGTCTGCCTGAGTTTTGTCCTCCATGTCATGTCACATATCATGGATCTGCCTTTTTGCACAAAGTCAATTAAATACCCGGATAATATTCGCAAGAAAGTTTCATGGATGTACTATGGATACCTATCAAGGTAGTCTGCCATGCCAGCATTTTCTTCCCTTGAAAAGTGTTTGCCAAATTAGAATGAATTTAGTAGCAGTATATACTCGACTAAAATAATCTCACCTTTTCGGGTAAAAATATTCCATACATAACGTTGAATTTTATGTTGCTACAGTTCTCCGTCATTATGAAAAAGCAAAAAATTATTTCAGTGTAATTTTTCTTTGAAGTTTAATCCAAAATACCCTACAGAAGAGATCTAATATATAAAGCCACTCAACTAAGGAAGTAGACATTGATGGATCGAGTGCAATTTGTTTATGCACTAACAGATTGAGCACAGGCAGCTGTATAATTTATAATAAAGGAGGTATGTTATTAAAAACCATTTTTAGCAGAAAATTGGACTAGGGAATCATATTTCTGATTAAATGAAATCGGATACTATCATTCGCATTTTCCAGTTACGTCAGAAACTTAATTACTTGCATACCTACTACCAATACTACGCAATTAGGTACAAAAAAATAGAGATAAAAAACATCGCGTTCATCGGAAGATCCCTGAAAAAAAAGTTACAAAAAAGTCAGGGTATGTTCCGGATTCCAGCGGCCATTTTAGAGTTGATATAATACATGATAATATGCAATATTTCGTGTGCCAGCAAAGTATTGGATCGAACGGATTCAAATAAAGTGCGGGTCAAACATCATCCCGGACTCATTTCCGGTCGATTTTAGACGCGTGGGAACGAACCGAAAATTAAAATCTTTTTCCGTCAAAAGCCTGCCGGCAAGTTCCGTTGAGAAAATTTTCTGCGAAACTTATTTTCTTTAAAACTTTTAGCAGAGGAATACCAAGCGTGGCATTTTGCAATAAGCAACCTATTTACACCATGAATTATCAAGTCAAGTTATTAAGTTATTAAGTACCTACCTATATTAGGGAAAGGTATTCCAAGAAAAAAATTGTCCGTCAGCAATGAAATTAATTCCAAAGTAAAACTCAGATTAATGGACTTAAAAAAAGGGCGAGTTACTGTATTGAAAATGTGTGTTTAAAATGTTTGCCAAACTTCCTAAATTTAAATGAGTTTTGCGTTATTTGAATGAGAGTACTCAGAGTCTCCCGAAAGAATAATAATAAATGTGTACCCAAGATAATGAAAAAGGGGAAATACTAAAAGCTTCCCTTTGAAATATTTCTCCAATTGATCAAATATAAAGTTGAATCAAATTTGATTTAAATTTAACAAGGAGCATATTTTACCAAACCATGTAGAGGATTTAAAAAAAAACTGTGCAGAATGTCTTGTCTGTGATTTAATTTTAACTAAATCCGCAAGGTAATGAAGTTTGAAAAGAGAAATAGTTTTTGGACATTCTGTACTTACTGTTTCACTTATGTCAAATATGATCGGAGTAAATATTGGAACAGCTCTAGGAGAAATACATGATCGGGTCGGTTCGTCTCTTGCTGGAGTACAACTTTGAATCTTCAACTTGGGCATTTCTTTGCAGGGAGAACGAAGTTTCCGTTGCGGTGTTGACTTTCCTGAAATTTCACCGAGAAAATTGAAATTTGAATCTTCTGCGACTCAAATGATTCATTAACAAAATTAAAAACATTATGTAAAGGTATTTCGATTACCAAACTCTATTAGATATACCTAGGTAGGTACTTACCGCTTTTAGTTTTATCAACTGAAACATTCGAAGTGGTTTTTGGCTTTTCAAAATCAACAGTTACTTTTATCGTTTGCACACCAGCATCGCTGGATTCTGTGAACACGGCTTCCAAGGGCTTGCTTCGTCCCGTATTGTTTTCTGAATTTCCAGAATCCATAACACCTCCAATAGTAGTTTCAGATTCAACTGAAGAACAACAGGGTTTAGAATCATAAGGCACTTTCGATTCATAGTTATTCGGTTTTTCCTTGGTGCAAATGTTATCTTCTAAACTATCTTTGCCAGATTGACCTTTAGATACTTTTCGTATTACAGTTTTGCTTATATTGTTTATAGTGACCATATAACTTTCCTCAGTTTCATTAACAAATTCTAAAGGAAAATCCTGTTTGAGGACGTTGTCAAGTTTCTCTGTAACACAGATATTTCGATTTGGTTTCGCTAGAATATGTAAAAAAAATGCCATTTACTGTGTAATTATTGTAAATTTATCCTAAATCATCATTATCGTTGTTCAAATGTGCAATAATTAAATCAAAATATGTAGGTATTATAATTGACGGATATTGTGTTAAGCTGTGTAACATATGTTGCGTTATCACTGTACTGGCAAACATAATAATAATTACGGTCTGTTTGACTTGTTCATTCATTTATATAATTATACATTATCTATATAGTACCTATGTATAATTTCAATAGCAGGTTTTCCGATAATGGAATTTGATTTATTATTAGCAGGAAGAATTCCAGCGAAAAGTAATTTATTTTTTCTTCAGGGACGTGTCCCAACGTATTACCTATTAATAGTGAAATAAGATTCTTACCTGACGTGTGCGTACAATATGGTTGATTTTCAGGATGATGCCTACAGGTATCTGCAACAATATGAAACCATATTCTGATTCGATATGTATATACAATAAAGAGATATTTTTAGACTTTAATAATTATTAGGTAGGTTGGGCGAATATATAGGTAGGTATACTCTGATTTATTGCTATGAAATTTGCACACTGTTATAAATCTCTTGGGGGGAACATTTTGCTCAAACTTGCCACACTGCGGCCATTGAGGAACAAGTCAGTGATAAATCTGTGGCTTGGTCGAAAAAGGGCCTAAGTGCAAATTTTCAAAAAACGAGCTATTGGGCCTAACTAACCAAATAAATAGTGCTCTTTCAAATGAAAAAAGTCCTAAGCGGATAAAACTCTTAGGTTATCAAAATTTTAATGTAAAAAGGACCTAAGTGTAAAAGTGATAATGCATATAAAGACCTATATTTAGTTAAGACCCATTTTCATTGGTATCGGGTCTTCCAAAAAAAAACAATCAAAGATTGCTATGGTTATTTAAACGTATGTCTTAGCAATATTTTTCTTTAATTTTGACAATGTCAGTCAATGAAATTTAATTTCAAAATGTCATGTCAAAAATCCTGACCAATAAAGAAACAATAATGCGACGTACGTTTTCGTAACCAGAGCAATCTTTGATTGGTTTTTTTTTTGAAGACCCGATATTATCTACCTATAAGAATAAAGTGTAAAAACTCAAATGGGCATAAGTGGTTGATAGGCCTAAAAAAATTTGGTCTATGTGCTCTTAGGTCTTTTTAACATTCTATCTGCTTTTTCCATATAGGGCCTATCTGCAACTTAGATTAAATTAATTTTACAATTTTGGTTCTATATTTACTTAGGGCATTTTTAATTTTACCACTAAAAATAAAAGCTGGCCTAACTGAAACATAGATGTGAATTATTCTCCAGTTGTCTAGGTTCAAATGTTACTTAGGTCCTTATCAATTGGGAACTTGAATTTTGCTGCATTCTAAGCAGTGGCGCACCCAGGGGAGGGGCCATCGGGCCATCGGGCCAGCCCCCCCCCCAGGCCGCCCTTGCAAGACTTTATTTTTACATAGGTATAAAAAAATGTGGCAAATTCAGGGCGTGGTACCCTGACGCCTCAATTTTTTTTTAGATTTTCAGTCACAAGCCACAACCTATGTAAGGCACCCCTCCCAAAACAGTCCTGTTCCTGGAAAAAAAATCAAAAATCAGGCCATAATCTGTATTGTCAAAATATCACCTATTATCTCTAGGAATTAAAAAATCGTAGCTCCGCTATCTTTGGTTTTTTTCCAATCAAATTTTGGTATGTTAAAGGTAAAAGGCTTCTGGACAAACTGGGAAGAACACACAAGCAAACTGCAACCCAACCTCAAACAAAATAAGTTTAGCTGCAGGAACACACGTGAAGTAGAAGAAACCCTTCAATTCCTTCAAATCCTTAACGGAGCAATCATGGAGGCATACGAATCCAGTTGTCCTGTGAAGGAACAAGTAAACAAAAAAGGTTGCGCATGGTGGAATAGTCACCTGTCACGACTTAGATCCGAGGTTCGCTATCTCTTTAACAGAGCCAAACGGGACGGAGAATGGCAGGGCTACACCGAAAGGCTGACTGATTACAACAGAAAATTAAGGAAGGCCAAACGGAAAAACTTCTAGAACTTCTGTGAATCTATCACAGAAACACCATCAGCAGCCAGACTATATAAACCCCTGGCAAAAGGCAGGGCGCAAGGTCCATTGACACTTAAGAAACCAAACGGCAGCTATACAGAAAATGAAGAGCAACGAGCTGCTCTACTACTGGAAACCCATTTTCCAGGAAGCATACCAAATGTCACTGAAGAAAACAAACAACGGCACTGAAAAACCAGGCAACAAACATTGGGAGGTTGCCAAGAACCTTTACACTCCGCAGCGGCTGGCTTGGGCGATCGACTCATTTCAATCGTTCAAATCACCTGGAGTAGACGGCATTTTTCCAGCCCTGTTGCAAAAAGGGCAAAATGAAATTATGCCGTATCCAATCAAACTCATTAGGTACAGCCTAGCGACCGGATACATACCCAGTCAATGGAGAAGAGCTAGAGTAACTTTCATCCCAAAGGCAGGGAGAAAGGATGCCACTCTACCGAAGTCGTTCAGCCCTATATGTCTCACGTCGTTCTTACTGAAGACAGTTGAGAAACTTGTAAATAACTATATCAGAACAAATGTTCTAGAAAAGACGCCACTACATCCTAGGCAACATGCTTACAGAGCGGGCAGATCAACAGAAACCGCTCTATTTGAACTCACTGACAGCATCCAAAACACACTGCTTAATAAAGAAGTAGCCATCTGCGCCTTCTTAGACATAAAGGGGGCCTTCGAAAACACCTCTCATGAGTCAATAAAGAATGCGCTTGTCAGAAAAGGAGTGGACAAAACCACATCCACCTGGATGTGTGAAACGTTAGCCACCAGAACTGCAGAAACGTATGTGGGGGAACAAACCATACAAGTCACCACAACGAGAGGATGTCCACAGGGAGGGGTACTCTCACCCTTGATGTGGAGTCTAGTAGTCGATGATCTTCTAAATACACTGACAGACCAGGGCTTCAACTGCCTTGGTTACGCCGATGATATTGTCATCATAGCCAAAGGCAAACACGAAGGAATACTCTGTGACCTTAAAGAAGAAGCACTCCGAACCACGAAGGAATGGTGTCAGACTGTGGGACTGAATTTTAACTCATCAAAAACCACACTGGTAACATTTACAAAAAGAACGAAACTCCCATACCTGAGGAACATGCGCCTCGATGGAAGCAGGCTTCACTGGAAACAAGAAGTTAAATTCCTAGGAATAACCCGAACTCCTTTGGAACCGACACATAGAGAACATAACAAACAAAGCAATTTTGGCCCTCATGGTATGTAAAAACATTGCGGGCAAAACGTGGGGTTGTAACCCATCGATCCTACGATGGATGTATACCATGATAGTGAAACCTATTATCACCTACGGAGCGGTAGCCTGGTACAGCCGAACCCAGCTAGTAACGGCTAGGAAAACAGGAAAGGTACAAAGACTCGCATGTCTATGCATAAGAGGAGCAATGAGAACATGCCCAACCGCGGCAATGGAAGTCATCCTAGACCTAACACCACTTCACACAATTGTGAATCATGTTGCCAGTGAATCATATCTAAGCCTGACGAAGATAAGTCTACAAGGGAAAACGCACTTTGGCAGAGCTTTCCCTCTCCGAAACTGAGCACACCTCATGGACTTACCAAAAGACGCGATTGTTGATAAATTCAGTTTCGAGAAAAACTTTTCCATCGAACTAAGTACAAAGAACAGATGGATCATAGAATGTATCCAGTTCCTTAAAGCAAACACCATCAAATGGTTCACAGACGGCTCCAAAACTGCTGAGGGGACAGGAGCCGGAGTATTCGGGCCACGAACCAGATACTCGGAGCCAATGGGCAAATCACCAAGCATATTCCAAGCCGAACTTCATGCGATCGGAAAATGCGTGCAGTTCAACCTGAACAGAAGGTACCGAAAACGAGAAATTGTAATAATGTCTGACAGCCAAGCAGCTATCAAAGCATTGAGCTCGCCGGTAATCAATTTTAAGATAGTATGGGAATGTCTACAGAAACACAATGAGCTGGGGAAGGAAAACAAAGTAACCCTACTATGGGTTCCTGGACACATAGGAGTCGAGGGCAATGAATGCGCAGACGAACTTACAAAAACGGGAGCGGACACTCCCTTTACTGGGCCAGAAGCATTCCGCGGCGTCGGAAATGCGGACCTCCAAGAAATCCTCAAAAAGGAAGAGAACCGGCTAAGGAACAAACAATGGCTAGACTAACCAGGACTACGACAGGCCAAAGATCTATTGGGTAGGTACAACCAAAAAAGATCGGAACTGCTGGTCAACCTTAGCAAGAAAAGTCTCAAAACTCTAACCGGGTTTCTCTCGGGACATTGCAGACTGAATAAGCACCTACATATTCTGGGGTTGAAAGAAGGTAACACTTGCAGATTCTGTGAAAACGGTGAAGAAACACCTCATCATCTTCTACTGAACTGCGATGCCGTAAGCCGCTCAAGAATGAAGAACTTGGGAAGTCCCCTTATACAGCTGGAAGACATTCCAGCCTGGAACCGCTAGACATCCTCAAATTCCTGAAGGACCTAAGACTAGAGGGGCTGCTTTAAGCAGGAAACCCGAACTTAGCAGCAGAAGGAGGGGTACAATAGATCAACCTTGGTCGCAGTGCAACTGACACCTCCAACCACATACATACATACATACATACATACATTTTTTACATGCATGCTTAATGGATGTGATAGACCAAGACATATGAGCATCTACGCAACAACAGACTGACATCAGAGATTCAGAGCAAAGGTGGGCTCAACGACCTGCAATTTGGCTTTACTAAGAGGAAAACAACGATCGATGCAGTGAGGCAAATAACTGACACAGTAGACGGAAAGTTCGGAGGATGGCGGGATGGCACTGGTAGACATGAAGAATGCATTTAACACAGCTCCCTGGCAAGGCATTATAAGTGCACTCACGAAAAAAGGCATAAGTAAGTACTTGGTCAA